CCAAAAACTAACTCCTAATTTCAAAAATGTCACTTTTTATAAAATCTTTCAAATATATCCAAAATTTCACTTAAATAGACACAAATACCCAAAAATTTAACAATTAAATAAATTAAAGGTTTTTTAGCTATTGTCGCCTCAAGCTCCGGTCCAACTTCACCTTCTCTTCTACACTCCAACACAACCCTATCCCCTTCGACCCCCTCATCACCTACATTGAGTGCCGTCGCGGTTACCGCAAGTAAGAGCAGCGGAATTTCAATCATGCCTTCAATGCCTTTTTTCTTACTAATATCATTTTTAGTTTTAAATATAAAAATAGTTTTTAAAGTTAATCCACATGTCGTTATATGATTGTATTTGTGAGACCCACGTGGCGCCACATCATTACACTAACAGAGCAATTGACAGATTTTTCACGAAAAAACTAAAATGATTACGATGGACAAATTCAAAGGACTAAAATGATTCACGATAGACAAATTCAAGAACACTATTATTGATTATCATTAATTGTTAAACAGCAAATTAAGGAGTTATGTTAATGTCACGAATCATTTTGGCTAAAAAGCCTTTAATTTTTTTATTTTATTGTTAAATTTGAGGGTATTTGTGTATATTTAAATAGAATTTTGGATATATTTGAAAGATTTTATAAAAAAAATGACATTTTTTAAATGAAGGGTTAATTTTTTGCTATATTTGATAAATACTCCTTCACAAGCCTTATGATGCTATGGATTGACATGATTGTTGCAATGTACTAGCTAGATAAACCTTTTTAATATAACTACTCGTGAACAAGAGTAAATATTCATCAACAACACATCAATTTACTCTTAAAAAAATTCCTTTAAACAAAACTTTCAAAGTTTATCCACCCAAATGATTAACAACAAAAGCAATCTTAGTTTTAAAATAAAAAGTAAATAAAAGAACTACAACCTGTCTCTAAAATACAGCACTCAAAAGACATAACACAAGAGTGGTAACGGCCAATCCAAGCTTCGAAAAATAAATAGTCGGAGCACTGCTTGGAGTTGAGCTTGGATGAGAGTCTGAAGGTAATGATCCCTGAGGTGCCGGGTTTGGACTTGCCAGCGAACTCTGCGGTATAGGAAGGGTAACCTTGATATCCAGCTTTTGTCCCGCTTGACAATGGCCGGGAGCACCACAAAGAAAGTAATAGTGGTCGGGCCTTTTAAGAGTGATGGTGTCGGAACCAGAGGTATAAACTGCGATAGCAGCGGTAGTGTTGCAAGATTCAAAATCTTGTTTCGTAACTTGCATCAAGTTGTGGAATTGACTATTGTAAGCGAATATGAGAGTATCACCGACATGAAACTCTTTTGTTGAAGCCCACTTGTTGTATCAACGAGACCCCTAGATGTCCACCCATCATAATCGCCAACTTTAAAAACATCACCTAAACAAACACCAGAAAGCACCATCATCATCACGAAGAAAATTAGTGCAATAGTGTTTTGCAGAGCCATGGCTAAAGAAATAGAAGAGGAAGGACAAATCGAGAGTGAAGGAAAGGAACTGAAATTTGTTTGAGTGAAAGACTTGACGCGACCTTGCATATATATAGATCAATGTGCTTTCTCCTAGTCCGGTTCGGAATAGGTTTCCAAATTGCAATTACTAGTAGTAGTAGTAGGAAATAATATATGTATGTTGTTTCGCAAATGGATGGCAGAATGAGTATACTAACAGGATTCAGTTTTTGACAAGAAAACAATCTACCAGTAGGATACTAGCTAGGATACGGAAGTATACATTTTTTCCAATAAAATAGATTTTTATTTAATTGTGGGAATGTCACGTCCGGCTCGCAAATAAGAAAAAATTAAAATTTATTTGTAACAAATCGAAGTATATAATAAATTGAGTATTAGGAATTGTAAATAAGATTTATGGATACACTGCAGATCATTGTACAACGAATTCTAGTCCACTAACTAGTTCACCGATGAAGCAGGCATTCGCCTAATAAGAATTAAAATATATAATATTTCACAAATTTATTGCACAAAACAAGGATTATAATTATTCAAATGAGATGTATGAATGTACTCTCATTCTCTTTTAATCCCACTAACTCATACTTAGGACACCAAGCATGCACGTCCAATACCATGCTTATACTACTTGTCTTCAAATACTATAGAATATGAGTTAGCACTAGTAGAAAAAAGCTCATCTACCACGGTGGATGTCCGTGATAAATTGCAAACTACCACGGACATCGTGCCCGTTAGTATTCTGGATGTGATAAAAAGTCTCTATTTCTACCACAGGCTATGCTCGTTGTCAAATGCAATGTAACCACGAATTGTGCTTGTGGTATATTGGAATCTAATACCACGTGTTTTGGCCATTGTGGATTACAAATTGATCACGGCTATTGCCCGTGGTATAAAATTTTCCGAAAATTAAAAAAAAAAATCAATAAACAAATATATATATATATATATAAAGATATTTATTTACAAGATTGCATATTTACTTTATAAAAATTCACATATTCAAATATTAAACTAAAAGCTAACAACAAAATGAGTAGTTATATTAAGAAAACCAAATCACTGAGTTATGCTACAGTAGTGTACCAAAACATGTAGACTTTGTTTCACTCTAAAACAAACTCAAGTCCTAGTTCCATCCTTGGTCCTCCAATGATATTCATCTTCTCTGCAATCCTTTCTTCAAGCCAATCACAATTCAAATTTGCAGGTGCCCAAACATAGTAGTTGATATTTGAATTATAAACCCTCATGAAGTAGAACCACCAACCACCTATGAGACAAACAAGGAAAAATATAAAGCTTAGAAATCAAAACTCAACACCTAAGGACATCATACACAAAACAATTCAAATTCACAAAGTCAATTAGACAAAAGGCAAGTAATCATGATCCAAGTGAGTACACGGTGCATGTCAAAAAAATACCTAAGACACCTGAAATTATAAGGACCAAAGAGTCAAGGAACATTGAAACTTCATTTAGCATTAGATATAGTACATACCAATACTTGTTCAACATCCGGCAAAGGAATCATCTTTAATTCTCCTTTTCCATATAACACTTAGGTAGTCAACTCGTCCTGTACGCCATGATAGAAATTTCATTTACTACAGTTCAAACAAGAGAGATAGCAATACCTTATGACCCAATTCTTCCAACCAAAACCTTTCTTTGATCCTGAAATTCAATGTGGCAGTATAACAAAACATAAAGAAACTTACACCACGCATAGCAGACTCTCGAGTTTGTTCTTTTACTCTTATAATTCAAACATAATTATGCAGGAACACTAAACTCCCATTATGCAATTTGTTTAAATCAATGCCCCAAAATTAATTTCATCACAATTCATTAGACAATGATAAATTAATCCCACCAATTTAGGAACCCAACAATTTTCTTCATCATTTCAACAAGTTACCATAACCAGAGACTTAAAACAATAAAATAAAAAAAATGAAGCTTAATTACCCCAAGTGAAAAGCAACCTATCTGAGGCAGCAGAGGCGGTGTGCTCGCGATCGCGAGCAATGTCCAACCACCACCAATTAGCCCCCGCCATGCACCTAAAAAGCTCCAGAGAGCTGCTTCGGGATCCTTAACTGCTGCTCCTTCCCATTCCGACCCGTCTGCTCGGACATGCAATATCCTCACATGTAAATCGCCCTTTTCGTCGGAATGCTCACCGGCCGGTTACGACCCAGAAGCTCATCAATGTCAATTTCCATAAATTTCCTTCACAATCTGAACCACAAAGTTGCAAGTCAACGAATTTGACAAAAAAATTAACAAATTTTAATCCAATTGAAGGAGAAAGTTGGGAGCTTTACAAAATGAGTTCTCTATTTGGTTACCGGGGAAATGGAATAGTGGTGAATTGGGATTTTATCGGCAGCCAAACAGAGGGGAGAGAGGGAGAGAGAGAGAGTAGCGGAGATACCTAAGGACTCAAGGTGGACGAGGAAGAAAGGAGAAAACTGAAAAATGATTGTTGTTGGTGAAATGTTAAGAGAGAGGAGAGTGATAGAGTTCAATTTAATTTCTCACGATTTGGGGAGGGGGAGTTGTGCGGTTACTAGCTGATGGGATGAGATAAACCAATAAATAAAATTTGAGAAGTGTACGGGAGTGCTGTGAAATTTTCAAATTTCAAAGATGTTAGAAATTTTGCAAAATTCTTGTCCCGCCTTCTCTAAATTTTTTAGTTAAGTGTGTGTGATTCCACCACATATTATGTCCGTGATGGATAACAAAAAAACGATGTGGGGGTTAACAATAATAACCACAAGCATTGTCCGTGGTGGTTTTAGTATATTTATTACGTGCAATTTTGCGCGTGGTCATTCATTGCTATTTTACAACAAGCTAAGATTTGTCCGTGATAATATATTGTTATTACTACGTGCTTATTATGCCCGTGGTAAATTTGTACTTTTATAACGAGCTCATAAAGTCCGTGATAAAATTATCGTGGTAGATGAGTTGTTGTGTTGTAGTGTAGCACCCGTCTATCCCTTAATCACAAATTTTTTAATTTTATTCTCAACTTTCACTTGTTATATAGGCCATTCTCTCGACGCCCAAATATGTATTCAAGTCTTTCCTCCAATGTCTAGTGAATATATACAAATTTCAAATTATATTTCCAAGGCCTTCTTCGTCTTCTGAATACATTCACAACTCAACGCTTAACACAACTCATGCACCATATTTTTCTTGATTGTGCGAGTGTTTATGCATATGCAGTACAAAATGTCAATAGTCACATGCTATCTAATAATCATACAAATTTCAATACCGATCAAGCTATTATATATCAAAGTGACAATCGTACAAGCAAAAAAATGAACAATTCAAGAAGCCCAGCATATAACAAGAACAAGAAGAAAGCATTATCCTCAATCCTTAAACTGATACAATGCTTAATTATTCAACTCTTGAAACATAAAATCAACTCTTTTTCAGGGATTAAATAGAAACGTATGACAACCCAAGGAACCTGCAGACTCGAAAAACAGTGATCCTGTAGTAGCATTATCATTCTTATCAACTTCCGCGCAGCATATTAAACCATTGCTACTAATATCATTAGCTATTATCGGCGTCTTCTTGTAATGTATATTATATGCAATTCAAACGCAGCAGTAGCACACATGAGAAAGGGAATGTTTAGGCTACTAGCACTGATCCATTGAAGAAAACATGTCATTTGAACAAAATATCCTTATTGTACACATCAACAAAACGTCCTTATTGGCATGTAGAAACATTTGTTTTTTTTTTGTTTTTTGGGACAAACAATAGATAATCTACTCTAAATTCATCTAGAATATGGAGAGGGGTGAGGGTTTGAACACCGGACACAATGAGTTGAGAAAGAAGAATGTATTCACCATGGCAATCCACCACTTTCTATGTATGTAGAAACATCTGAGCCCTCAATTAAGCGTGTTGTCTCTCTTCACAGAATGTCAATTGTGTTGTCTCGCTTGACTGAAATAACACTATTCACATAAACAGAAGCTTGAATAAATCTTGGATTATCCACGCCACGAATAGAAACGTACTTACGTGTTTTTGTGCTTAAGTTGTAGGAGACTATATGCCCATTAGCGCTAACTATCAGAAGCTCGTCGCTCTTCCAAATTTTCAGTGGAATCAAATGTCCTGTAAAGTTCCAATGCTTAAGTGTTTTTATCCATGAACCTTTCACCTCCTCTATTATATAATAAAAGAGCAATGGAGTCATTCCATACTGCAAGACTCTTAAGCCACCCATTGATGTTACGGAAGTTATCTGGAAGGGGTATATTATGAAACACCTCCTCGCTCATATCGAATGAAAGGATGAATTCATTATCTTGTGGAACAGAAGCTGCATACCAGTAAAAAATTCCCTTGAAGTACATATCAAAGGAAGCCATCTAGAAGGCATTAACTTTGATATCGCACTCGATCACTCTCCAAGAATTAGTACCCAAGGTGTATACTGCTGCTTTTCTTCTAGGCGTGCATACTTCTTCTTCACTAGAAGGCCTAGGCAAAAAGTTGACAATTCTAACAACCTTGTACTGTTTAGTTTTGGAATCATAACCGAATCCCGTGGCATTGCTATACGTGATGATTTCTTCTCCTTTGTCAATACCTAAATGACGGCGAGGCCATGGAGGGTGAAGAAGACAAGACTCGGGAAGAAGCTTGAATTCCTTGATTGCTGGATTGCATAAAACAATAATGTCGTTGGGATATTGTAGACAGATGATCCCATCACAATGACCTAACATTTTTACGTTAAAAGGAAGTTTCCTCAACCAGAAGTTGTCAACGTCAACAGTTACAGCATGATGAACATCACCATCATTAATAACATCGTCGAAAAGATTAAGTAACGAAAATACATCCATCATATCTGGCGTCAGGTTGATTTTGTTGCGGATGAAGTTTTCCTCCTTGTCCTTTATGTTGGTGCCCTTGGGGACGGTAAGCTTGACAATGATGCTAGTGGAGGAGGCCAATTTGTTGTGTTTGGGATTGGAAAGGTGCTTCTCCACGAAGTTAGGGTTCTGGATCAGATCGCACCATGACCTACGGACGCACTTGAACCGCATCAAAGACTTAGGAGGCAATCTTGACAGAATTTCCACCACCATCTCTTCGGACAATTTGCACAGCCTTGCCATTTTTTTTTTTATCAATCCTCCTCCTCCTCCCCCTCCTACGTATTTCTTTTGTATGATTGTATCTGTAGGTTTTTTTCACCTACGCGTTCATCACATCACACACACACAAAAATCGATCTCATGTTGTTTACGAAGGGTTAACTTTATTAGGTAGGGATCGAATTGTTGTTCTTTAAGAAATTAAATTCAGGTAACTGGAGAGGAACAAGATGAAGGAAAATGTTCATACCTTGGAATTCGGGTTGTGTTAAGAGTCTGAGAGGAGAGAAGTTGAAAGTAAAACTTCAAAATCCACTCAGATTCCTCATCGGTCTTCGTGGTTGCGATCCTTTCGTTTGGATGAGGAATTTCAAATGTAATGCTAGGGACAACTGTAAATTCTCTTGTTTGGGAAAGATGTGTGAAATTTGTAATGTTTAGGTCATGAAATTTATTGGTTTTTTCACAGGCAGTTTTGATGGATATATTTATCGTGAATCCAATTGTTCACGACTAAGGTTGTCATGCACCGATATTGTCTCCACCTAACCATATAGACCCAATTCTCTAGATGGTATCAAACCCAATAGACCTCATGTGTAAAGTTTTATCTCAAAAAGTCTCAATACAATTAAAGTGTTGCAACTATATTTAAACCTTAGGTTATTATTGTACTTCTATGTTAAGACTCTTCAAATTCATCTTGACCTGTATCGAGCCAACCTTTTATGTTAGTGTTTTAATACTCCTATCTAAATGCAGTTAGTTTCCCTCGTAAATTCAGAATAGCCGTTATGCAAGAGCTGTCCTTTCCTCTTTTCGATTTAATCAAGAACTTTTGCCAACGAGATTTGAACTCAAGATATTCGAAAATGGTCGGCAACATTATGCAAGAATTAAGAGTTACCGCATCTGATCATTCATAAAAATAATTTATCACCAAGATAAACCCTAAATACCATACAAACAAACAAAATTCAAATAGCTTTACGCTTTCATCAACATCATGAATGTTAATTTTATGGATACAATCATTGAACAAATCACAGTCAAGAACCAAACAACATCCATGTTAAAGATGGCCAACAAAAGCACGAAAACCGTCTTAGGCCATCAAACTGGTAAGAAACTAAGAGAAGAGTCCTTTAACTCTATAACAAGGCTAATATCCAAACAGCACCATAGTATTAACCGGAAAAAGAAAAAGAAAAGTAATTATCCTGCCGTGAAACTCTTATCAACAATTAAACTGTGATAAAGCACTTCTGTTTATGAGGAACAGAAGAGTCCTTTAACTAGATAACAAGGTTTAATTCGTTTACTTCTAAAGACAAACGCGACTTTTCGCAACACATACATAGTTTTATGCAAACTAAAACAAAAGAGCGTATATGACAATACATAGATTCAAACTCACACCAACGTTCCACTTCATAAATATCGAGACCGGGTGCAAACACAGTCTACCTTAACACTATGGTACACAAACACATACAAAGACATGCATATGTGTGTCTCTGTATTTCTTTGAATAACTTGGTTCTTTGAAAATCAATTCAAAAAGTGAAACGACCCGAAGTAGGAAAACAGAACTATGGTCAGAAAAACAAAACTATTGTAATGGTCATTGGTTACAATGTTGCATACATTTTGATGTCAGTATATACGAAATGAATTGTTAATAAAGTTCAACTAAACAACTTATTTAACATACAAGGCAGAACTAGAATGACGACGATGACCACTTAAATTTAGCTCTCAAGAGAAAGCTCCAATTCCAGACTAGAACAGAACTCACAGAAGCTGACCACAAGAGAAAGCTAACAGCAGAAAGAAACAAATGGAGACTCAATTAAATTGCATTACCACAACTTCGGCATGATCGAACCATTAACATTACTTAGTTTGATTACTCATAACCATTGCCACATAATTCAGAAAAAAAAATAATTCAGTTCAATGTAGTGGCATTTTAAGCATCTTCAAGTGCACAAAATTGTTCACAGCTTAATTACTTAACAAAAAAGTTTGATTATTTTGGCCAATAATACATGAAAATTGATAACAACGAGTAAAATTCGTCCCTTTTTAGAGACCCAATGATGATTACAAAAGTAAATCTTAATTTTCATTAGAGAATTAGAACACTAATTAAACAACAACAATAACAAATCACAACCTAACAATAATGTTTGAAAAAAAAATTACTAAAATTTAGAACAAACCCATTAGGCAGTGAGTGGAGTCCTGAGTAGTGAACCCATCAATTGGTTTTCGGGTGCGGCATGGGGAATAACCCGGAACTAGTGCCTCTCAGCGGCTAAAAGCCCAAGAACTTCTGCAAATTGGTCTGAATACTGATCAAGCACAGAAAATACAAAAACGCCATTGAACAGTTAGTCGCATCCTCCCCTTGCAGCCCTCTGTGGCTCATCTTCATCACCAACCTAAAGGGCTTACAGGGTAACTTCGCCACCGCCTTCCCCTCGAACAACGAGTTAAGCAATCTGAAGACGACGAAGAGGACGAGGGCTACGACGGCGCCGGACTTGAACTTGAAGAGCGACAAATTGTGGCTTGATTCCTTGAGGCTGCTCTCAACGCGGTCGATCTTCTTGGTCTTGGACTTTTTGGTAATTTTGGTGGCGGAGGTGGAGTTGGTCTTCATGGTCTCGAGCTTCTTGAGCGCTTTGTCGATGGAGGAGTGAAGGGACTTGTAGGAGTTGGTGCGGTAGATGAAAACTCATGAGATCGCCTCGCAAATGACAGTGGTGCAGAAGGAGATGCCTTCCACCGTCAGGCTGTCCGAGTACTTGAGGCCGAAGAGGAAGGAGGCGGTGACCATCGGAAAATCGCCGAGAAAACGCAAAGAAAATTTGAATATTGGAGCGTTTGATCTGATTTGGTGGTGCGTAGATTTGTTTAGTTTAGATTGTGAGATGTAGTGGACTTTTTCTATGGGCCTAATTCTAATGTTGGTCTGGGGCCTTGCCTTGCGCCTTGAGCTTTTTTATATTTTTCTAATTGTTAAAAAATCTATTTTTACTGTCACCGCTAGTAGATGCTTGAACGTAACAAATCCTTAGTAAAAATGTTTCTTTCAAAATGCACTTCAAGTGCTTTCGGAACCTATAAATATTTTCACCTTAAGTACTTTCAGTCATTTTAAAACTATTTCCAAATGAGCCGTAATTTTATAAGATCCTTCCCGAACTAAATCTCAACGTTCTTCAATTGTTTTTGGTTGTAGGTTGTAAGACAACTTATAAAGATTTAACCTAGTGTCGAACGAAATGGTTAGGGGTGTGTATAGTAGTAGTATATAGAGTTATGAATACATGAATTTTGAGAGAGTTTAGTTGACTTTCATAAATTCATGTAGATTTTGGTTGAGCATATCTGTTTACTTTACAAGTTGGGCATAGCCCGACATCTATGCACCAACTTATTTGGGAGAGTGTTAACGTGAGCCTAACCCGTGTCTAGCAAAGTAATCTCTTGTAAATAGCATGTAGCCTTGTATATATATTGGCCTCCATAAGGAGAAGAATAACATACATAAATTTTCAAATATTTTAGCATAAATAAGACATGCTAAAAGGGTTACACTAAGGGGAGGGAGAATTCAGTTAAATTACACAATGGGTAGCCTAATTTGGTATCAAATTCGCCATCCACGATATTCGAACATAAGATCTCTCACTTCCAAATAAAGATGAATACCACCAGACCGAATTACCGAGTGGCTAGAAAGAATAAGTTAGATTGTGTAAAGAGAGACTTTGGATGCGGTCCCTAACTATGAATATTCTTTGATTGATACCTTGTTGGTTTTCAATTTTTTATCCAAGTCCCTGAAATTAATGTGATAATTTATTTCTATGTACGTTACTATATTTTTTAACTTAAAAATTTTAGTTGTTTATATAAATGAGATTTTAAATAAAAAAAACCATAATTTGTGGGATTACAAATATTAAAATATAAATATACTATTGTGTGTGTGTGTAAACATGGGTACATTCTTCAAAATCACAAAAACAAATATATATATATATATATATATATATATATATATATATATATTAGGCTTAATAACATTAGTAAATTTCTCTTTATTAAACTTGACATGGATAAATTTTAAAATCAAAGAAAAAAGAATGTACCCATATAAGTTTAAAAATGGCTTAGAAAAAAATTGAATAGATTTTATATATATAAAACAATGGTACATTTTACATATAAAAAAATTGGTATATTTAAGAATGAGTACATTTTAAGATTAAAATTTGAAAAAAATTACATGAATGGGTACATTTAATTAGCATGGGTACATTTAGCAAAATAAAAAGTACAAATAAAAAATACATATATGGGTACAAATACAAATAAAACTTTAAAAAATATGGGCACAAAAAGAAATTAATATATGGGTACAAATTAAAACTGAAAAGAAAATTGGTACAAATTAAAAAAGGGTTGCAAATTAAAAATGGGTACAAACTAAAACTAAAAATATATGATAAAAAATTTAGTCATAAATATAAATATACTAATTGTAACATTTTTAACATTAAATGAATATATTTAGAAATTAAAAAAAATATTATTGAAATAATTAATGATGTTATTAATACCCAAGGACCTTGATCAAAAATTAAAAAAGAAAATGAGTAGTAAAAAGAAGGAAGAGAACATAATTTCTCCTTGTATAAATTACTATCCTAGTTTAAATTTTCCGAAAGACTCGCTAGTCACCAATGTAATATGTATAATTGATTGAAGACAAAATCTGGTAGTATCGGATAGCATTTATTATGTCTTTTCTGGGGAGTAATTTTTGCAGTTAAGAGAACGTGGCGAAAAAAAAAAAGCCAAACAGATCTGCATGGCTTATGTTTGAAGCTAACTCTTTAGAGAACCAGACATTTTTGGTTACGATTGAAAAGCTTGACTAACCCTTCAAACAACCCTACACTTGGAATGGCTATCCCTTCGAAACGTTATTGTGAATTAGTGACTCATGACATTGATAAGATGTGAGTCTGTAGAGCGTTGTCCCGCATCAGAAAGTTGAGAAATCTTTGAAGAGCTTATCAGAAATTAAGTTATTTCTCTTTTATTAATTAGTTTTAAGATAGAACCTGAACTTTCTATATATCATAGTAGGTTGACTCAAGTGTAAAGCTCAACCTCAACCGTAACTTTACCTTCGTATATATATAAGATCATCTTATTTCCACTCCAAAGTTCTTTTTTGCACACGTTATTTGGAAATCCATGAAGGGAGTGTGAGAAGCTTAATTAAATTACAAATACCCATACCAAATTAAGTGAACTGTCACCCACTCTAGCTGTTAATCCATGTAAATTACACAAGAAGTTTAACATGTCAATCAAGACTTGATAATCATTCACATATGGGATTCATTACCCTCCAGCCAAAGTGATAGTTGACGCAAGCCGTTATATTGCTCATATTGATGAAATCTGTTGGACTCAAAAGGAACAAGACAGACTTGTTTGGTTATATTCTCTTAACTCTGTACATTAACCGAGGTGATTTAGAATCTTATTTATTTGTGTTAAGACAAAGTCCTTTTGCTATGTTTCTAGTAATTATCTAAAACTCCGAGAGCACTGCGTGAAGAAAAACAAGGGGAAAAATAAAGATTAGTCCTTAAGAAAAGGGTTTTTTCGTATACTTTTATAAAAAATTTAAAATGAGCACATTAGGACGGTTGTGAATAGATTCTCCAATGATCAGAGGAGGGAGTTTGTACGTGCTTATAAGTAATTAGACTACTCTATAATAAAACCTCAACTTTCTTCATGGTATCAG